AGGAATGGTTTGGGTTTGCTTTTTTCAGAAACAGTGAGGCTTGCATTAAGCTGTTTACCGTTCAGTGTTGTACCTGGTTTCTGCTAAAGGGTTCCCCAAATGGGATAGAAATTGGTGCTGCTTTACTTGTCTTGAGCTATCGCCTTGATCATAATCCTTTGACAGTCTTGTCAGGTTTGAAAGAAAAACATGAAACATAAGTACAGCCTTTTGCCAGGAAACTTACTTTTCTGATTTGGAGCGAGACAGTCTCTTCTCCAGAGCTGGTCAAGTACTACCTGACCAAAACACTGGTTGGAAATAAGGTGGTGTCATTGATGTTGGTTTTCATTTTAGTAGTGATGTGGATTGTACTATTAAACTACCTTCCAGAGTACGAAGTTTATCTTGATTGGTGAGCTTATCATTTAGGCTTTGCTGGGACTTACGTGGCTAACGTAATCCACTGTGTATTATACCTCATTCTGTTCTTTGATACTTGTTCAGTAAGTTGGGATGTGAAGGTTTCTGAACAGCACTGTCTAAGAATTTAGATCAAACTGAAATCTTACATAGAAGGAGGAGTCAGTACGTGAATGTTGAGATAACTTAGTTAGCTAAGGTACTACTGACATCTGTGTGACACTGGCATTTGTCCTAGGCAAGTTGTAGTAGCTTCAGTTTAACAAAAAAGTCAGATTTTGTCTCTGATAGAGGATTTTTAATGTGCTGTCTTCTTGCTTATCTCTTTATATCTAGATAGAGAGCTGCAGCGATCTGTGGCAGTGCTAGTTACGTACCAAATGGATACTGTCATCAGGACACAGTAGCCTACTTAGGTTTCAGTTTGGTACAAAGAGGGAAGATCTGTTAGTGACTGAAGTCTAGCACAGGCAGTAGATTCATTAACATGCACCTGCTCTTTTGCAGATTCGGAATCTGAAAAATCATTAAGTGGATTTGAAACCACTACAGCCTACTCATTAGAGGACAGCATGGATTCAAAAGATACAATAACTTCAAGTATGTCTGAAGAAAAGGTTTGTGGCAGTGGGGAGTCGCTGTCTAACGGAATCAAAAAACACAGGTAGGATGTTGTCTGTTCTTAAGGTATTATAGTATGCATTAATGATGAGTAAAAGACAACAGGAATCTCTGAAAAGCGAACTGTGAAAACTTTTAAAACTTTGTAAGGGATGATTGACATGTAGTTGGTTGTGCTATGATTTTATAAAGAATATTTTTCCAAGGCTAATGTGCTCCTTCATCTTGCTTTTTGTTGATTGAATCTGAATAAGTAAAAATAAAATTTAATGTGCTGTGTAAAAATGGACACACCTGTTTTTTAATAGATCTTATTGAAATCTATGTGGATTTTAATTCCTTCATGTATATTTAATGACCTATGCCTCCTATTGCCGCTTTAATTTCCAGTCATTTGATCCTTCTGTTGGTATCAGGAATGAATGAAAAATATTGGTAGCCTGGCATCAGACACTCAAATGTGAACAAAGGGAGTCTTATTCTAAAAGTCTCATCCATGTTTTATGTGCTTATTTTGTGTTGTCAAACGATCCATTTTTGTTTGTTTCCTTGCTGATAAAGGAGGACAATAGGTGTGGAGTTAATGAGATGTAATAGACACCACTATTCTCGAGTTTCAGTGAAAGGGCAATATAATGTTTGTGCTACAGATCAAGCCAGACTTCAGCGTGTTTCAAAAAGGCTGCTTTGGGAGTGGTTTGGACATGTGGAATGATGATGGGGACACCAAATTTCTGTAAAAACAGCAAATTGATATTTAATTTTACAAAGCAAGTAAGACATGCTTTAATTACTTGGTATCTTAAATAGTTAAATTGCAGTCACTGTTGAAGTATGTGGTAATGTCAGAGACCTGATGTTTCAAGGTTCAACCTCTGCATGTATATCCCTCCCATACTAGGCAAAGACCGAGGTAAATGAGGGCTTGGGTGGAGCAACGGGGTGGTTTGGGAAGGTAACATAAAGCAGCTGACTAAGCACGTTGCTCTCTGCTCTTGTGCTGTTAGCAAGGTATTTATGGCCTTGGCTAAGTGCCTTTCTGAACTAGAGCAGGAAGTTCAGGCTGGGGAGGGGAAGTGCTAGGTAAAGGTGGGTGGATATCTGAATTGCATTCATTGCCTTGGAAACAATGAGGAGAAAGGAGGCAGTTCATGATCAACATGAAAATGATGATGCATGTTGACATGCATTGTCTTGAAGAGTTTTAACAAGAATTGATCTTTTTACTATAAAAAAGAAATAACTTGACAAGTTTCTATAACAGTGCACTATGTTGTCAGAAGGATATGGAGCAGGTGTCTGGAGGAGCAATTAAGATCTACTGGTTTTGTAAGGGGAAATGAAAAGTAGTAAGTACCTCTGCCTAAGTGGTTTCTGAGTTGCCTTTTAGTAGTAAAGGGAGTATAGGATGTTGGAGTAAAATGAGTGCATAAATTGGCTAGTAATTTACTGCTGAAGAAAAGTGGAAACATCTGTTTTGCATATAGATAAGAATGTATGGTCATATTTTATGTGACTAAATGGCTATAGAGCACATTCTAGGTTGAGCTGTAATGTTACGTTTTTTTACCTGGCATCTTGGTGACACATTGGGATTTGCCCACAAATATATTGATGCAAACTGTTTCTCCCCAGAGCTCAGCCAATTTAAATTTTACTTCCAAGAGAACCTTCTCAGGGGATGGGAGTTGTGTGGTGTTTCTAGTCTCATTTCTGAGCCTCCTGGTGGCAGCGATATTTGGGCTGGCATGGAATCTCTTTGCTGTGTCTGATTGCAGTTCTGACTTGAGAACTGTTACCTGCCTGGACCTGCTGGGTCCAGTTTGTGCCTCTCTCCATTCTGAGGCTTGTTAGAGAACATGTGGTCAAATACACATCATCTGTGATGCAACCTGTGTCCTTTTTGGAGCAGAGATCTTAACTTCTTGATGGCTGTGCAAAGTGAGGGGTCAGAATGTTTTCACAGCACTTAATTCCATCCTTAACACCTTCAGGTTTGCTGTAACTTTTTTGTTTAACTTTCTTTTGTTTGAACCACATAGGAACAAGTCACTTAAAGAATAGACCACATTAATTTCTTTTGCTTAAAATCATGATACCTTCCTGTAGTTCCTCAGATGAATAGAGGGTCTGCAACTGCATTTGGGTTGCACATGAGAGTACTCAACGCTGTTTAGCAGTCAGTATAAGACTACTTCCTACCTTCATCTAGAAAACCTGAGTTCTAATCTGGATCTCAATTATTTGAGTGGTGAGGGGTTTGCACAAGGAGGTGGAGGTCAGCTTTTGATGGGGGGTGTGTTTTGGTTTTGGAGATGTCGGAATAAATCTGTTAGTTCCAAGGAATTATAAGTGTTAGGATGTACATAAATAGATAGGGGAAGCCAGTGTTGAGATGTTCATATATAGGTAGGTGAAGCTGGTGCCACTTACAATCTGCTATCTTGTTCTGTTTTTTTAATGCAGTTTGATCCTACTGATTGTTCATACAGTGTTTGAAAGAACGTGGATGATGTGACTTCTTGTAGTTTAGGTTGATTTGAGAGTGGACTTAATTTTTGGAAACTTCTTGGGAGAGGATTTGAGAGATAGAATAGTACATTAACAACTTCCCTCTTAAAAAGAAATTATTTGAATTCTTCCAGATTTAATCTGAGCCAAATGTTTTTAAAAAAGGACACCACCCTCCCAAACCCTTGCACAAAAATGTTTTGTAATAGTTGCCAATATTTAACATGCATTTATCACTGCTGTTTCTCTCTTATTGCTGAGGTTTCGTAGTCGGCTTTCCCTTTGGTCCACCCACTGGGGACCTTTCAGAATAAAAATGTGTTTGTGTTTGGCTTTTTGGGAGCCAGGAGGTTATTTGATCAGGTTTACATGAAGCTAAACATACTTTTTTCACACTATATATCTTTTTCCCCACACAGTTCCTGTAGTAGCTGATCTACTCTAGATAATGCTTCCAACAAGTGTTTTTAAGTAAATGATCTTAAATGCATCTTATCTGTTCTACTGCACGGACATTCCAGCAGATGTTTTTGTCACTTAAAACTAAAATTAACTTCCTGAGTTGTTTCTAAAATTGACATCTGGAAGGAAATTTTTGCTTTTACAAACCTTTCCCTTAATTACAGGGAGTGTGTCAGGGTTAGTAGGCCTCAAGTCTTGGCTGCCTGTCATTTTTCCACATGTCCTTACTTGTCCCTGGGATCTTTCTTGGTGGCTTCAAACTCCTTTGTTTCTTCGGTCCTTGTATGTTATATGGAGAAAAGAACTGACTCCCATATCAGGTTTGGCTGATATAGGCAAGAAATATGGATGAATGGCTGAAACTGAATGCCAAGTTTCAAGTAATTAAATAAATTGAATGGAGGGACAGGTTAACTTTAATGAAAATGTGTAAGTTTTAATATATAAGGAAAGCAATCCCTGTGTATCCTTTAGCAAACTAGAGGCATGTGAGTGTGTTTTACGTGCAGAAGGGCTTACTTAAACACATAGCTGCTCTGCTAACTGCCTTCATTAAAGAAAAACACAGACAAAATAAGTAAACACTACGATTGAAGATAAGACTGAATACTTGGTGGACACTGTCCTCTCCTGGACATTTGTATCAAAGCATCCACAGAAGTATTTTATACTTGATATTATTCAAGGCTATCTGTTTCACAGAATACTTTTCTATCGGTGGAAAATCAGAATACAGAGTGAGTGATATCACGTTGGTCAATTAAAATAAATTCTCCTACCCACTCATCCCCTGCATGGGAGCTGAGTAAAACAAGTCAGTGTTGAGCTGTTAGCTACTTGCTAACAAAACATAGTTTCATACCATGAGGAGTTCAGGTGTATGACTAAGTTTTTGATTGGATGAGACTTGTATTTTAAGGACCATTTTTTGGTTTTCTTTCTGCAAACTGAGGTATTAGTCCTGGTAAAAGTGTTTCAGTGGCGGATAAGTATGGGAAGTAACACAGCAAGTAGGGCTACTGAAAGTAACAACTTAGTCTGAATAGATTTTTTTTTTCTTTTGGCAGTGCTTCTGTTTATCAGAAAAGTGGGGTGGAGGAGGCACTACAGCCTGTTCACACTCTCTAAAAAAGATAATGCTTTAGCTACTTTGAGGGGAGATAAGACCTCCTTGGTTAGGAGGGCAACACCATCATTTAGACAGTCAACTAAACTTTGAAACTCATATAGTTCATGCAGTTTGAGCTGTAAGTACTTCTACCTGTTGAGAATTTTCCTCATTGGTAATAGCTTCATGATCCAAACACTAATTTTAGTGGTGTTGTGAACAAAGGGCTTTGACCTATGCTTATCCCTTTCTATAGGTAAATAGTTGAGCTGGTCAGTAGCATTAAGAAAACTGAACAAAATCTGTGCCTGATTTCTTGTACAGCTGAGAAGTACAGGCTGTATTACACAGCATAAATGTTGCTCTTGAAAGTATGTTTAAGACTTGCTTCAGGATACGTTGGCCCCCTGTAGAAGAGGCTGCCATGTTTTCTGTTCTTTAACAATGCTGCTTTTTCTGTTGTTCCTGAGGACTGATTTGAATATAGACAATAAATCTCATGGCTCTTCATTGTCAGCGTACAGGTGACTAGCAAAAAAAACCCCAAACCCACTATTTAACTCTCAAATCTGTTCAGATGTAGTGAAACATACCTGTGGACTTACTTGGGGAGAACTTACTTTCTCTCTAAGTCACAACTAAGTATCTTAATGGTGCCATCATGAAAACAGTGTAAACTGTTTTAACTGATGTAAAAATTCTCTTATGTTACTCTTATGTAAAATGAAGGGAATGGTTCTGGTTCTGTTTTTTTGAGGAATTCAGGTTTCTGTCCTGGTAAAACAGTTTAAGTGCTTCAAAGTAGCACTATTGTTCCCCCTTAATTTTTAATTTTAAATTGGAAAACTGTTACTTTCAAAGATTATCTGGGCTTCTGAGTCATGGTTAGTAATGGAAAACTTTTCTTACTTCTGCCTTCTTCCCTGTTCCTTTCTGCAGAACAAGCTTGCCATCTCCGATGTTTTCTAGGAATGACTTCAGTATCTGGAGTATCTTAAGAAAATGCATTGGAATGGTAGGTAACCAGAAAGCTATGATAAAAGATGTGAGGTGATTGTTTCATTTGAGGCCTAAATGAAAACTTGGTGAGGAGGGGGAATTTTTTTAAATTTGCTTTTGATGCTTTATGTGCTTTCACAACTAAAGAAGGTGAAACTTGGTCAGAGCAATGTTTCTGCAGTAAAAGCACTTTCTCTTAATTTTAACCCCTAAAGTACTTTGTGATAGCAAAAATTTTTTACTTTGTGCAAAAACAAAAGAAAACCAAAAAACCAACCACTTCAATTTTGCTCTTCTCCCTTCCCCTTAGTATCTTAGTCTTTCCCTCCATGGTGTTACTGGCCCAGATGGTGGCCAGATCAGAGTTTAGCTGGGTGGCACATAATCTGCTTCCAGCTAAGGGTGAATTCTGTCTGTTAGATCCTGCAGTAGGCTGAAAGTACTTACTTCTGAGAAACCTCTGCCAGCCTGTAACAGTAGCCCACAGAAGGGAATGTGTGTGTTTAGTTGCTGCTGTTTTCTCCTCCTCCCCTTGCTGTAGTTAGAAACAGCACCAAGCAAAGAGATGTGAAAATACTGGGGAATGCCTGTATCAGCAGTACCAGGTCTTATGAGTTGTGAACCATCTGAGGCTTTTCACAGTGGTTTTAGTGGAAAAATATAACAACCTTAAAATACAGAGAGCAGATTGAAAGCCTGTCTTGCATAAGGTGTGTGCAGGGAAAAAAATCCATAAAGGTCTTAATTCTGCTTTGCAGAAATTGCTGCGCAGAAGTTGCACTTTGGGAGGGGCAGGGAGAAACTTGGAGTGGATGGTACCGCAGTGTCTACCAAAGCTGTTAGTGCCAGATGCTGCTGTTATGGTTAAGAACAATACTGCTTACTGCGCATATTGCCACTGGTCATAGTATATGCTTTTAATTTGTTGGTGCAGACAGTTTAAAACGTTGCTATGTTATGGAGAGGGCGTGCTTTTTAAAAATGGGAAAGAGAATAAACAGCATCAAAACTGTAGGACTTCATTTTTATTCCTGTGACAAAAATTCCTTTTTTCTTCAGAATATAGACTCCCTGTTTTTACTTCTTTGCTGCCGTGTTTCCCTGTCCTTTTTCATCCTCCTCCCCCTGCCTGCCCGCCTGCCTCCAAAAAAGATAATATGTTTAAGTAATTAGATGGCCTATATCTATTTTAAGAGTAATAAATAACTTAGTCTTTAAAATGGTCCTTAATACTTCATTCTATTGTTTCATGTCACCTTCTTAATGCATTTGTTGTTAGGAAGTTTGTTTGATGCTTGGTTTTCTTTTTGTTTTAAAAGTAGCCTTAACATCAACACAGATGGGCTTATCAAGCTCATAAGGGATGTTACAGGGTTTTTTCCTTTCAGCATTAGCAGAGCCAGGTCAAGCACATTGCATTAGCACTAAGAGCATCATTTATTTTTGTAATAAGCCAATTACGCTTGGGTTACTGAAGGTTGGTGTATCTAATCATTTGGGTTTTAACACAAATTTCATTTGTGCATCAGGAGTTGTCGAAGATCACAATGCCAGTTATATTCAATGAGCCACTGAGCTTCCTACAGCGCCTTACAGAGTATATGGAGCACACATACCTCATCCACAAAGCCAGCTCACTTTCCAGCACGACTGAGCGAATGCAGGTACTTTGGGCATGATAATTTGTGCTAGCTCTTGATGAATGCATTGGGATTTTTTCCCTTCATAGATAGTCTCATTATAGGAGAAACTCGTGTAATCTGGTGCATGTTGGATTCTCTTAGTCATTAACCGATTTTGCTTATCTAGGAAAATGTTTGGCTTTTCCTAAGGCTTGCTTTTTTAGCCTTTTGATGAAAACTGTTTATTCCCCTGCCTTGCAAACAGAATTTTGCTAAGCTGTTTCAGGAGAATCATTCTGTAATACCATGACTGCTGTTGATACTTGATAAAGACTAAAATTCAGGAGATGAACTGTGTACTCTTACTCTTTTGAGTAGTGTGTTGCTGCATTTGCTGTGTCTGCTGTAGCCTCACAGTGGGAACGTACAGGGAAGCCATTCAACCCATTGCTTGGGGAGACATATGAATTGATCAGGTAAGGAACAGAAGGTGCACTGAAGAGTGGAGGGTGGAATTGTGTATAACTGATGTTTCATTAGACTTGTCAGGTGGCTTGCAGACTGCTCTTCAGCTTGTGAGATTCCACCCATTCTACTAGTAGCTGCTGGAGGTGCTTGCAATGTGTGTTGTTCAGTAAGGCACCTGCTAGTGAAGGGAAGCCACTTTTCAACTGAGAGCAGGCAAATAAAATTTTCCAGGTTTAAAAGCAAATTTTATTTACAAAAAGACTTTTTTTCTGAAACCTTCTTAATGAAAAGATGCATGGTACATAAGAGGGATGATGTCTGAGCAGATTTGGTAGCTCTTGTTACCTTTTTACAATATCACAGAATCAGAGTGGTAGGGGTTGGAAGGGACCTCTGAAGATCATCTAGTCCAACCCCCCTGCTAAAGTAGGCTATGTCCTCAGTTATTTAGAATGATGATGTTCTATGTATTAGTTGATCTGTCTTTTTGTGTTATCCTAGGGTTTTAACTAACTCTTGCACTGAGTACAGCAAGTGTGCCTCAGTCCAACTATCTGTTTCACTCTGTGGAAAAGAACTGCAACTTCACTACACTTGGTACATAGATGCATACTTCTGGTTCTCTTTATTTTGCAGAGATGATCTTGGATTTAGACTTCTCTCAGAGCAAGTTAGCCATCATCCACCAATCAGTGCTTTCTATGCTGAAGGTTTAAATAATGATTTTGTGTTTCATGGATCAATTTATCCTAAACTGAAATTCTGGGGCAAGAGCGTGGAAGCGGAACCAAAAGGCACAATGACTTTGGAGCTTCTTGAGTAAGTTGATAAGTAATAATTGCATAGGCACAGTGGCCACATCCATGATGATTAGTGTGCATTAGTGTCTCATGGCTTAGGAATGGACATGTCTAACACCTCCATCCTAAAGTTTGATGGCAGATCACTTTGCGGGGAGGGAGGGGATGAGAAGATGAAAGGAACTGCCACTGTTTCTCCTAATATACTGCACACTAATAGTAGCAGTAGTTGGGGCTTGTGTCTGTCCTGCAGATGCCTGTGGCTGTTTTAAGGAATTGATAAAATGAGTAGCAATAGGTTAATAAACTTCTTGCCTTTCCTAACTTACTGCCCTCTCCATTTCCAGATTTGGTGCGATTTATAGATGATGGCTTGTTGCAGGAGTTATATCTGGTACAAAGACACAGTATTTTAATTTTTATTCCTCTCCCTTAGACACAATGAAGCCTACACGTGGACAAATCCTACATGCTGTGTGCATAACATTATTGTGGGCAAACTTTGGATTGAGCAGTATGGAAATGTGGAAATAACTAACCATAAGTAAGTTAAGAGCGTGAGTGCTTTCACTTGCTGCAAGTTTGAAGAGGAAAAGCATTTGGAAGTAATTAATGTCCTCTTGTTCTGACTTTAGAACTGGTGAGAAATGTGTCCTAAGCTTCAAGCCCTGCGGCCTCTTTGGGAAGGAGTTGCACAAAGTTGAAGGCTACATTCAGGACAAAAGGTAACAGGAAACAAAATTGCTGCCCTCTGTCTCTGATTGGAGTTGTAGAATTGAATGCCCTTGACATAGTCTGTCAAGGGCATGAACCTGCCAGAGGAAGGTTATTAATTGTGCAACACCAATAATGGAGTTTTAAGAGTTTCTCTCAAAAGTTCTTCTTTCAGATATTTTTGGCTGAAATAAATCCTTTTAAACTCCTTTGTAAACTTAGTCTTTTTTGACAGCAAAAAGAAACTTTGTGCGCTGTATGGGAAGTGGACTGAGTGTTTGTACAGTGTTGACCCAGCTACGTTCGAAGCTTACAAAAAAAATGACAAGAAAAATGCAGAAGAGAAGAAAAGTGGTAAACAGGTATTAATCATGCAAAAAGGTAGTATCTCCAAAGCATGATAAGATTGCTAATGCTCTTAAATGCTACTAAAATATTTAAAATTTCTTTCCACCTTTTCTCCCTTTCCTAGTAGGATGCAAAACAGATTGGATGAGTACAAGCATTGAGGGATAAAATGCTTTCTCTCTCAAGGATTTGTATTCAAACTTCCCAAAACTGGGAGTGATCTAAATACCAGCTGGTTCATTACCCGCCTCTTTCTCCAAGTCACATGGAGGAAATAGCATATCTATTAGTTGGACTAGTTCTGATCATATATGGTAACGTTTTTATTCTAATAGAGGGATGTGGAAACCTGGAGGCAGGAGAGCCTAGTTTCTCATCTTGATAGAAGATTGTATTTTCCAGCTTTTACAAGGAATTTTTCTATTGCTTTCTATTAACTTCCACGACCATAGAAATGCTTGGGTTTTTTTTACCTCCACAATTGCATTTTTTTTTTCTTCTTGGGAAAATACCCTCATTCTTAATTCTTCCAGATTTTTGATCAGCAGTATGCTTTTTGTTAAAGGGGAATGGTAATGGTGATGACATACAGCTTGATAAAGAACAGCCACTTGCATAGTAGCTTAAAACAGGGATTATTCCCCTTTGGTGACTGAAGCCAGATAGTTTTTTGTTGGTTTGGGTGTTGGTAGTTTTTATACTTAAGAAAAAAGAGAGATCTCTGAAAGCAGTTGTTCCTGTGCAGGTTCAGATTGTTGCTGTATCTGAGATTGCTCCAGTGCTTGTCATCAGGAGAGTGCTAAAGCCCTGGGGGTTACTGCTTGTCTTCAAGTCTGACCCTGTGAGCTCTAGGGAGAAGGAGGAAAGGAAAACATACCCTGTGTCTTTGTTCAGCTACCACGTTGTGTTTTTGAATAATGCTTAAGATGATCCTTGCTTTTCACTTCAAAATGAAGCATCCTATTGCATAAAGCTCAAGCTGCAATGTTGCTTTGATTCTAGAAAAGCACACTTTTTCTACTTAAACTATTTTGGTGTAGAAAACTGAAATCTTTGTAATGCACACAATGAATCTAGTCTGTTGAATATGTATTCCCACTGCCCCCTTGTGTTTGAGGAGTTGATATGGTTTATGGTTTTTGAACATCTAGGTGAGCCAAGTCTCATGTATAATATCTGGATGTGGTTTGTCCCTTAAGGATAGTGATGGATTCATTCAGGCATGAAAGCACATGGCCTTTCAAACTTCTGATCAGAATTTTCAGATTTATTTAGTTGTTTTCCAGCTATTCCTTTGTGCTGCATTGCTACTAATGAAGAATTGCTTCTGTCTCCTTTTAGGGGACCTGCTTGAATGCGAGTCCTTTTGCAAATTGCCCCAGATTTTCCCCTGAATCTCTTTGATTTTTATAGGGATAAATCGTAAGGAAAAATAATTTTTCAGGGAGCTAGACAAGCTTTTATTTGTGCAAAGGTGATGTTTTGCCAACATGGGAAGAATTGTAGTAGATCTGGGGTTAGACCAGGATGATTCTGCTCTAAATGAACTGGAGCCTTTTTTAATCAAGATGAAGCATTTTGTGCAGTATTTTCAGTGCAAATACATGGAAAAACATAATGTAGGGCAACAGCAACTCCCCTCATATGTGTCTCATTTACAGACACCAGAAGTCTTGCTTTGGCCAAGTCTGTTACTATCCTCCTAGCAATATGCTGCAGAGGTAGGGTAGCACTGAGCATAAAATAGGGATCATTGTGGCAAGAGAACGTGAAAATCCGCTTTTTGCCTCGTCTCTGTAATTCTTAGGACACTTTTAAGATTATGTATCCAGCAACGCACAAATTGCAGTGTGTATTGTAGCCTTTCTGTAAAAGTTGGCTTGGAGTTTGACAGTCTGGTATTGAAGTGTCTTTGTTTTGATATGAGGATATCTTTCCGATCGATTCTGCTTCAGATTCCCAATTTCTGAAAGATGGATCAGTGTCCTTTAAAGGACAGAATGGCAGGTTGCCAGCACAGTTCAGGTGTAGTCAACTAAAAGCCCTGTTTATCTTTGTAGTAGCTGAGGAACTGAACGTGGTTTGCATGTTGTTCTGGTTACTTTGCAATCTGTTCATTATTAAAAGCACTGTACCCAAGTGCTCCACAGTGGAACAGAATCCTTTATTATCCTACTCTTCTTGGAGGCACAACATGTGAGTCATCTCAGAGGACAACTGAGTCCAGTTTAGGTACTGGATTTATTTTTTTTTTTTGCACTAAACGTTAGTCTGTATTATCTGATGGAGCCATCAGAGAGCAAAGCTTATTAGCAGCAGGATTAAAGCTGTTGGCATGTAGCCAAAATATTTAAAGCATTAGTTGCCTTTAAGTTCAGCTTTACTCTCCAGTGGTCTCTGAAACATGCTGCTGTTCTTAGCTGTGATAGTGACACTAAGTTTTCTTGGGAGAGCTGTATTCATTGTCTAGGTGGCTTTAGTTCAGTATTATAACATACACTTGTGTGGCATAATTAATGTCAGCAGCCTCAGACCCCAGCTGCTTTGAAGCTGTGCGTAAAAAAGGTGATGGTTTAGAACTAGTTCAGATCACACCTACACTGTGACCACCAATTACTCTCTACTGCCCCAGTAACCCTGGGGGGGAGTTTTTCCTTTTCTGGGAAAAGCATTTCACAGTGGTTGCAGCCGCTGCAGGCGGTATGTGTGAGCCTTCATAGGGATACCCTTCCCAGAAGAAGCACCTGATCTAGGATATTCATTTAACATTTGCAGTTTGCCATTTCGATAGCATAGTGGTCAATGGAAAGGAAGGTTCCGCTGAGCAAAGAGCAGTAGCTTAGGGCTTTGTTGTGCACAAACTGAAGACAGCATTTGCAATATGTGCTGGTGTTTGTTTGATGTGGAAGGATGAGCAATGTGACTTCTATTCTTTGAATATTAGGCATGGAAGTGCTTGTGTTTGAGGAAATGGGATATCTCTGTGGTGGAAGAATTACCATTTCTTAATGCTTGAACATCCAGATTATATCTACAAAGATTTTGATGCAAGAAACTGTTGGTAGTCTTCCATTGGGAGGGAATTGGGAGTACATACATGTTAATGCTGTTATCCTTCTTGACAAGCACCTAGAAAAGTTTCTTTGTTGCTGAAATTATTTACTTTGGGTTAAGGAAATAATTTTATGTAAGTTCCAGTGTTGGAATGAATGGATGTAAATGGTTTATGACTCCAAAGAACTCCTTTTTTCTTTGTGTGCTGCCTTTAGGTGGGCAATACTGAGGAACCAGATGAGATGCCATTGCCAGATTCTGAGAGCGTGTATGTTATTCCTGGAAGTATTTTGCTATGGAAGATAACTCCAAGACCTCCAAATTCAGCACAGGTCAGCTATGCTTCTGCTTATTGAAAGTGTATGCTGCCCTGTTATTCTGTATATTCAACACAAAACAAATCCCTTTGTCTTTCATTAACAAGTCTGGGTTTTCCTGTTTGTTGTAATAAACTTTCCCACTACAATCCTAACTCTATAATGTGGGGTTGGAGGGATTACTGCCACAGGGATGACTCTAGAGTTAGCGGAATTTCTCTGGAAAAATGGGATGCTTTGTGTAGCTAGCAGTATGGGAGCTTTCCCCACCTCTTCTCTCTACCCTGCTCCCCCCACTAAGGGACCTACTTTGTGAGAAATCTCTTCCGAAGGGCTTTATTAGAGGACAGACACTTCCTAGGAGATGCTTGCGAAGCCTGTGTGGCCTGAGTTGGTGTGTGAAGGGCTGGAGAGCGAGTGGGTAAAATACAAGGGTATGTGTACAACTGGGAAGACAAAGAATTAGAACAAGAAAAGGTGCCCTCAGTGGGTTAATCAAGGGGGAAATATCTCTACAGAGGTAGGGAACATACCAATAGGACTGGAAAAAGATGATGAGAGAGATAGTGCACTGAGTAATTGGATGCTGGCCTGCTTAAACTGAAACACCAAGGATCACCTACGCTCTGCCTGATGGTGCAGTTTTTCTGGTATCTGGAGTATTCCTATCCTGATGATTAAATAATAAAAAAGCGCTTGGATGTTTGTTTTTAGACAGCAGCTAGAGACACCGTAAAGTCACCTTTTATCTTTGTCTCTGAATTTCAGATGTATAATTTTACCAGCTTTGCTATGGCTTTGAATGAATTGGACAAAGAAATGGAGAGCGTCATCCCCAAAACTGACTGCCGGCTACGACCAGATATTAGAGCCATGGAAAATGGAGAAATAGGTAACTTCAGTTATTGACAAAGGTGTTTTTATTTTTTTGTTAAAACTGAGGGTCTGGGAAAAAGGTGAATTCCACATTCTAGATGAACTGCTGGAGTAAGTAGCTGCCCATAAAGATCCATTCGTCCATGCTGCAAGACAGTAAGTCTTTAATACAGCCTTCTGCAGGTTGTTGTAAGCTTGTAGTGAAAGGTATGTCACCCACCTCCACTGGGGCTGGTTGGGAAGGAGTTAATTTTCTTCAGAGCAGCCCGCATATGATGCTGTGTTTTAGATTGGTGACCAAAGCAGTGTTGATAACACATCAATGTTTTAGCTATTGCTTAACTACATCTGCACAGTGTTAAGGCCATCTCTGTTTATGTGGTTGACAAGAGGCTGGGAGGGGACACAGCAAGGACAGCTGATCCCAACTGACCAAAGAGATATTCCATACCATATGATGTCGTGTTCAGTAATAAATTGTGTGTGTTGGGGGGGAAGTAGCTGTTGCTTGGAGACTGGCAGGATACAGGTCTGCTGGTGGAAGGTAGTAAGTGATTGCCTTTGCATCACTTTTTCCTCCTTTTTTTCTTTCCCTTCACTTATTAAACTGTCTTTACCTCAACCCAAGAGGTTGTTTAGTGTTGGTTTTTTGGGTTTTTTTTCCTCTTTCTTTTGATTCTTTCCCTTAACCCGCTGGGGTGGATGGGAGTGAACAGGTGACGTGTGGGTGCTTACTTGCTAGCCATAAACCCACCACACCACCTACTTGCTTATGTTCTTCTATATAAGCAAGAATCTTAAACTTCACGATGTTGTGCTTTTTATTTAGCTTTAGGCCCTCTGCTGTGCTCCATAGTCAAGTGCCTATAATTGGAAACTGGTCTAATGAGACAATCTGTGAGCATCAAAAGGAAGTATTTCTGAACTTTTCATTTTTCTGTTTCCATCAGCCTGATGCAAAAGGAGTATTTTCCTGTGCTAATTCTGAGAAATGCAGTCTAAACTATTTAAGTGAAACTGCAATGCAAAAAATACACTTGATGCAAAATTATTCTTCATTGAAAGCTGAACACTTCTGTTGTCCTAGAATAGTGAATGAGAAATACATTATGAGCCTTTCAGTGAGTAGAAGTAGTTTGCTTTTTAGAAACCTCGAGATTGTTACTGTAGATGCCATAGAGTGAAAAATGTCTTTTAGTCTTCTGACGTGTGACTTGGTGTTAAATACTTTGATATGGTGTGGAACAGCCTCTCCCTGGCCCGCTCTTCTCCTTTTTCTTTGGCATTTTGCATATTAAAGCAGGATGGCCAGCTTTTTAAGACTAAAAGCATGGGGGCTTTTGCTTTCTCTGGATTGCTAAGTGACTGGGGTAAGTCATGAAACCTCTGATTCAGTTTTGCCTGTGTAATAGAGCAATGATTGTGACTACATCTGAGGGAAAAAAAAGTAAATCATACAACTGCACTGTATTATGCCCACGTCACTAGTTTTCATACCTAGATGTCAGACTATTTTTCTCAGAAGGTGATAACCGCTTCTTTGAGGCTTTTTTAAAAGCAGATCAGTGAATTACCATCACCAGTCTCTCCTGCCTGTACAATTCTTTTGCGGCCAGCTGGATGGACATACTTGGTTCAGAGCATTCCTAGTAATTTGTCTGTCTAAACTCAAAGTGCAAATAACTAGGCTGTTAGCAACAGACCGTATTCCTTAACTATACTAATAGCATAAAGTGTGTCTAGCAGATAGACTGGTAATAAGCAGTGTGTTAGTAGCTGGCAGGGTAACTGGGAACGACTCAGTCTTCCAGAAATTATTTTCCCAACTACTTCTAAGATGTTTATGAAATGCTTTTTGAGGATTCAAGTATGAAAAAGATTGCCCTTCACCTAATCTGCTGCTTAGTGTGACTCCTCAGACCTTCTGACCATCCTTTCTGCCAAATAGAAGCAAGTGTTCTGCTTGTTTAGGACCATGACCTGTGCTACCTCAGTGCCTTAACAAAAAAAAAAAAAAAAGGGATGCTGCAGAAACAGTTCTCTGTGGTCTGGAAATGAATATTCTAAACCCTGTTGATCAGGAACTAGGGACTAGTAACAATTTACCCCAAACCATAAGAAGCAGCAGGTGGCCAGACTTCCAAAATAAATCCAGCATATCCCTACTGAAATAAATTCTAGGTATGCCACCTTCCCTGGCCCACATTTGCTGTCACGTAAACACGTTTTCAGGGTCCTCAGGCCATGGATAAACATGTATTTAGGAGTCCTAAAGACTGGAATTCCATTGGCTGATACTGTGCCACAGCTGGCCTGGCTTTGCTCTTAGACTAAACCAGAAGCTCTTCTGTGTTATGTAGAAGACTTTTTAAATGGACAACTTCTACTACTGCCCTTATTTATTTGCTGGGTCAGGTGGAGTAATGTCCCTGTCTTATATTACACTTTACATCTTCTGTATTTTTGTTTCTGTATTTTTATTCCTTCAAGATCTAGCTAGTGAAGAAAAGAAGAGGCTAGAAGAAAAACAAAGGACTGCCCGCAAAAATCGTTCAAAGTCAGAGGAAGACTGGAAGACGAGGTTAGTGTGCTTGCCTCTGCATGTGTGTAGTTATATAAAGGTTTTGAACATTCAGGTTAACTACCAGTCCATGCCAGTGATGTGCAGTGTTGTGTCAGCATGCAGAGCTGATGTCATCAGGTTTGGTAGTGCCACTGTTGTATTTGCAGGCTTGGTCCCTGCAGGCTGTAGTGTTTCCAGAGAGAAGTGTCAGGCTTGGTCTCAGTTCCTTCCTTCTCACTGCTTGCACACCCATATTCAAATACAAACTGTGTTGTCCTTTCTGAGCACCTCTTGGTTCTGATATGAAAGAGATGTTGCCACTGATAGCTGTTTGTAAGGACTGTTGTTGCTGATTAATTTATAATTGCCTCAAATTCGCATGCTTGGCCAAAGAGAGGAGGAAATGCTTCCTCCGGTGAACTTGATAGCTTATTGCCCGTGACTTCTCAGATCGGTTGTTGTGTGTGGGCAATACTCTCTTCTCACTGCGTTCTCCAAGTTGGTGAAATGACTTCATCACTCAGATAGCTAAGTCATTGTCTCCTTTCTGAGAGGGCTACTATCTACAGAAGTTAGAAGAGCTAAGTGAAAAATAAGCTTACAAGGGATCTGGCAGGATGTTTTGTGGGGGTTTTTTTGTTTGGTTTTTGGGGTTTCTTTTTGGTTGGTTGGATTTTTTTACTATGAGAGGGGTCAGTTGGGAGCTCTTACACACAAGCTAAGTAGAAACTGTGAAAACATGACCAAATGAATCTAGTTTGTCCAGACAAGGTCTATTTAAAATTATAGTAATAAATTGGTCTCCTCACAGAAAACAAGTAAAAAAATGATAGGGCTAAAATCTCTGACAAGCTTCATATCTTCCCTATTAGCTAGGTATTAATACACCCAGACACTGTGGATTAAATATCTTTAAAATGTTAAAATGTTTGTAACTATAAATCACTTTTTTTCTTTTTTCAAATGAAGTCACCCATCATCCCAGAGTCCCAGGTTTGGACGTGTCTGCCTTTGTCTTTTTCCTGTGCCTGCTCTCCTGAAGTGTTTGGGTTTGCTTGCCCTGAGACCGATGGAAAATAACATCTTTGTAATGCTTCCAAGTAAACGTGTTAAGTGCTGGACAGCCTTGCACCTCCCTCTTCCTTTCCTCAATTCAGAGTGGTTCTAGCTCTCACCAAGTGTTTTCAAAGCAAGGAATAGTTATACTGTGTTGTTCTGGGTGCCTGAAGTAGCTTAAGGTTTAGCTCAAAGCACCTGAGGTTGGCTTTGGAAATCAGGGAGTTCCCAGCGAGCAACTCAGAGCAGTGGTTTTTGGGGTGTATAATTTGTGCAGACACCATTCACAAGGTTCTTCAATTGCTGTTGTGCAGGTACTGTAGACCTGTTCATCACTTGCCTGAGATATCCTTTAAGAACTCTGTTTTCCAGGATGTTTCTAAAGCTTTGGCAGAAAATTCCTCATGTGTGATCTCTTTAGTAGGAATGCCAAGTGTGACTGCCTCCAAAGGATGAATGTAAAGTGTAGAGGAAGAGTTAGGCTTTGGGGAAAAAAAAATGCATACTGTGAAAGGAGTGTCTCCTACATCTTCCCAGAAGGTCAACTGTAGGTCTTAATCTGCAGTGTAATATAAATTCTGATGTAAGCTACTGCAGGCTCCTTGCCACAGAAAAGCAGGTTTCTTTCTTCATCTAGTGGAGTTCCTCCCTTGTAAGACAATTCTCCAAAGTGCCTAGTGATTTTTTTTTAATTATTTTGAATCTTTTAGAGGTGGAGTCCTGGTGTTTCCAAAGAAGTGATTCATGTTGAACACTTAATGTTTTAGAGACTCACCAGTAGTCCTAAGTCTTGAGTAAAAGACTAGTTCAGTTCTGAACATAGCAGCAGTCGTGCTTTAGATGAAAATCAGTCCCCTCCTTCCCCTGTCACTAACCTGGCTAGATTATCTGAGTGCTTTGGGTCTCCTGTGTTTCTCAAACTTTCTTCTTCCCACCACCTTCCCCTTCCTATTGAAGTAGGTGGTCACTGGAGGAGGGGCACATTGTCCTGACTTGTACGTGTGTTGAAGACACACTGGTGAAGTATTGGGTGGTAGAATTCCTTAATGTGAGAGATGAGGTGACCGTGCTTATAGCCCTGCCTCTCAGCAAACTCTTTGTGCTCTGGAACGAGCTACTGTGAACTAGGCGCCTGCGCACACACCCACACCAGTTGCTTCAGAATAGCTGATGCATCCTTTGTGGAGGTGACGCAGTAGTGAACCATCTGCAGTATGAGGGTTGAATGACTTCTGTCTTCTGTTGACTTCAGTTCACTTAACCAGGACAGCAGGAGAACCACTGAAGTGTTCAACTGTTCAGTTTACCACCGTGAAGATGGTAAAAGGCATTTCTCCCGATACACATCTCAAATCTTTTGAGCCAAGCAAGACTTGCCATGGGCTGCCCCGCTCTGTAACATGATACTGGTGGTCTTTATGCTTTTGCTTTTTTAAAGAGATCAAGTTGGATTTGGTCCGAATATGTTTTAATTTTTGTTCTGAAACCTTATGGTACCCTAGAAGGGAAGAGCTGAGTTTAAACGGGCTGCCTTGCACACGCATGATTTACTGAAATGAGTGTGTTCGCTGCAGTGAAGCATATAAAGTAAGAACTGGCTTTTGTGGCCACTGAAGAGATGAAAGGAAGCTGTGGAGCGTATTAACCGCAGAAACAGCTTCTAGAAGCTGGCTCGTGCCATAAACATGGCTTGGCAAAATACATCGAGAAGTTAAAATGCTAGAGGTCTGGTACTGTGCAGTGTGCTGTAGAGGCAGAAGATGGAGTAACTGGGCCAAAACAGAAAGTAGTGTTCAGTAATGTACTGCAGGATTGCTAGAAACAGGTGTGGGAGAGGAGGAAGAAGGACAAATTTCTGTGCCGTGGTGGTTTGACAGGGTTATACTCACCACTGGGGGATACTTGCCAGTAATATGGCCTTGTGCACCTTATCTAAAAAAAGCTGTATAGATTACATCTGCATGTGTATACACAGTGCTCCTAGATTAGGTAAGGGGGAGAGGGAAAGAAAGAAAGAAGGTGCTAAATTTCAGTGTTTCTACCAACAACCAGCTTTGCAAAAGCTTGCAAGTAACTTCATGCAGACAGAATCAGCTTTCTGGGCATTTGGATTAGCCTCCTAGTGCAAACAGTGAAATGCAACACAGTTAAGCTGTAATAAGGCAGGACTTTTCCTGCAGCCTGTGGGTGATATCTCATCTACACTGAGGGTAGCTGGCACACTTGTTCTGAGTTAAGTGCATTGCAAAACACAGCTTTGAAAAAAAAGGAGAAATCCAGATCCCGGGGAAATAATGTTTTTCTATTTTCAGGACTGCAGTGCTTGTGGTGTTTACATGTCTTGCAAAAACTGTTAACTGCTTATGCATGCCAAAATGATTGTTCACAACTGCTTTGAAGTAAAACTGTACCTGTCCTTTTTTTTATGTGATAGTCTTGAGTGCTGCAAGTGACAAAATACTGGTGTCAGTAGTTTAACCTAGGAGATGTTTAAGCAGTGTGGCAAATGGGGAGATCTAGCCACTGAAGATGAGTTTAAATTCACTTATGAAGTTAAAACCAAGAGGGCCTCTGCAATCATAATAATTGCTTTGAACAATAAACTGCTGAAGATGCAGCAAAGCAGTTCTGAACTTCTATAAAAGCCTGTGTTAATAGCTTTACTAACATGCTGTATGTTTCCTTGCAGATGGTTCCACCAAGGCCCCAATCCCTATACTGGTACGCAGGACTGGCTTTATTCTGGCAACTACTGGGACAGAAACTACTTTAACTTGCCTGATATTTATTGAAATGCAATAAGGAGCCTGTGACTGATACAAATAAGTCTTAATCTGTTTTAATGTTTTCCCTTGTTTTACTTATCTTCTGAAAAAAAACTGACATGTTATCCAACAGAATATTAAGCATCTCCACAGTAAGTCTGGTGGTACCTGATCTGCAGTCCCATAGGTAGGGGAATCATTTTTCTGGCTGATGGTGGGTCCTGTGTGGACAAAGTAAGTCGCCGTGGTTTTGAGCTGCCCTGTTTGCTGAATACACCTATATTAGGTTGTGGTGTATGAGGAATAGAACACCTTCTGCTGTTCTGTGAATACTTTCTTTTGTAGTTAACATTGGCACAAGTAAAACTGGTTTTATTTATTGTGACTTGGGAATGTTTAAAAGCACACACAGTAATTGCAATATTCTGTTCTTAAATGAAGAAGGGTGTGTCACTTTTGTAAAGATGTAATTTTTCATAAAGTGACTTTTCTTTTACTAAAGTAACTCCCTTGGATCCTGAGCTCTGGTCAGAGATTCCAGAAGCCTTCCCAACTCTGGAGCATTAATGCAGTTGTTTAAGCTGGTAACATTACTCAGAGGTATTTATTCCATGTTTTGTGCAGTGTGTTTTGAATTTTGCTCTCCTGTTTTGCTACCAACCTTATGGTTTAAGGAATTAAGAGCCATTTAAATATCTACAGATTTGATTTGAACTGCACACTAGTAACAGGTTTTAAAAGAATCTGTTCCATGCACTAGAAATTCTGGTGCCCAGCACCACTGCAAAAAGACAAGAACCTAATCAGTCCAGGACCCGGTGGAGCGTGGCGGGAGGGGGACAGGACATGTGTCTGTACTGTGCATACTCCTTGGGAGGAAGTCTTGTGCATTTCAAAGGTAGTGCAGCACCTCAGTGAGGCCTCCTGTGCACAGCTGCTTTACCCCTTTTCAGTGGGGTGCATTCAATCTTAGAGTTGTAAGTTTATATTGAACTGTGTACAGAGCTTCTAGAGGGCAAGCTGCTCTTTGTACAATATTTTAACTGCTGTTTGGAGGTTAGTGTTAATTGAATAATTTAATTGCTACTAAATAAAGGCTTCAAAACTTCTTGCATCTAGTCCAAAGTGGTGTTTGACAGCACTGGCCCTTTCTGAGCACGCCTACTCCAGAAGCTGCCGCAGTGAAGTTGTACAGTGTGTGACCCTGTGCTTCAGGGACCTCTTTTGCCCCAAGCAGGAACACTCTGCTTGTTGGGGTAATGGCTGGGGAACTGAGCTGCTTCCTTGAATATGCAAGCCTTCAGGGTTGGACTACTGAAACTGTTAATAAGGCAAGGAGATGGTCTCTCTCTTTTTCTCTGCACTACTAGAATTACCCAGGTAGTGATGCTGAGACATATTTGCATAGATAAGGGAAAGCCTGTTCTTTGGCAGCCTTTCATTTGAGGGCCCATTTCTCACAGCAACCTGTACTGGCAAAAATTCAATACCTACACTGTCTCTTAGAAGCCTCCTCTCTGCATTCAAGCCTCTACTCTGGCCAGCATTTCTTAAAGTCTGTCTTGATTCCTGTGCAGCTTCAGGTGGGATTCTGAGATCTGTAGAAAGAGTCTAGCTCTTGGATCAGTGCTTCAGTGGGTTGCACAGCATTGAACACTCAGTGCTAGAAAAAAAAGCACTTTTGTTCTTGCCTGCCCATTGTCAACTTTTCTTCTTTTGAATGAATTCTGTTTCAAAAGAACAGGTGTGTTGTTTTGGTTTTTTGTATAGACCTATACCTCAAGAGTCTGGCATATTTAAGTGACCATACACCTGTAGTTGTGAAACCTCTAAAGCAACATAAAGGTGCTTTTTCTTAACCCCTTCCTTGAAGCATTGCCTCAGCGGTCCTTCTCGATAAACCTGTAGTTTGACTGAATTGACCATATGTGAGAATAACTCCTTCCTCTCATTGAAAGTCTGACTGTTGTCTTGCTCCTGCCACTTGTGTACAGTTCCTTCCCAGAGGATAACCCCAGCAGCAGGGGTGACACCTGGTTATCCTGAACTAACTGTGGCTCTGTATGTCATCTGCCAGTAGCGTTGGGGCTTATGCTTATATCATGGGAGTACGCTGAAGCAGCTGGGCAGGCCAGAGGTGGCGTAGGGGTCACTTCACACAAAGTTGACAGTCAAGATATTGTGCTGTGCTAGGAAAGTATACAATGTGTGGGAATGCAGTTCTAATTGCTGGCTTCCTTGGAGCATTTGCATTAAGTTTTTTTGATTTATTACAATGTAAACTCCATTGTTCCTGAAGTCCACACAGCCTCTCTTCTCAACCTGTTTAAAATATAACATGAACTCAGTAGAAAGTGGGCAGCAACAACTTTAATTGCTACCTAAATGCACTGTAAGTTGAGCACGTTTTGCCACATTCTGAATATTACACTACTACACAAATGCTAAAAGGCATAAAGATGTGAGATTAACCAAGTTTTTAGAATAAAAGCAGAGCAAGACTAGTACTACTAATTGCAAAGTGTAACAAGCAGAGGAAGGTATTGGGTCTGTTATGTATGACCAGGTTAACCAGTGGTCTACAAACCTTTTTTTTTATTTTGAAAAGGCTTAAATTAAGCTTTTAGTAGTAAAATCCATACACTAGCATGTCCCTATGCAAGACTGATGCAAGAAGCAAGGTTACTTCTTCATGGCCCTGCTCTGGGCATGGGGCCTGCTGTAATGGGAATCTGTCCTGCAATACCATAACTTTCTGCAAGAGCATTTATACCTGTATGCTTATCACCAGCTGGTGAGCCTTTCTTTGCAGACATCATGTCATCCAGAGGGATGGCAACTGAGAAAACAGGGGCTGTGCGTGGCATAGCCCCAGTTTCCTCTGCAGAATGAAAATTGGGGCTTGCCATATCTGTTTCCTCATCAGCTGACCTGGCGACTGGGACAGTAGTGAGTCTTCTCCTAGCACCTGCCCCTTGCTGTGCAAAGACAGTGGGGCCAGGAAGAGGTTTCCAGTCCTGTGCATTCTGAATGTTAGAGCCCACTAAAATGAAAGGTGGAGCATTTCCCCTCTTTCTGTCCTCTTGCATCACATAAATTGGAGCAGATACTTGTGACAGCTGACCACACTGTTGATCTTCCCCTCTGGAAAGGCTGAGGGTTGCCTGGGAATAAGGAACACTGGCCCCAGCAGGAGGAAAGGATGGTGGTGATTTTTGACCTTGTCTCAAGTCAGTTAGGCAATAGAGGGTCCACACATTGGAACTTGGTGGTGGCTGTCCTGCTTCACTTGATGCCATGGCTACAAAGATAAAAATAAGAGTGCTGGTATCAGCAGTGGTGAATTCCAGTCATGTTTGTAAATCCTCATATATCAACCAAACATACCTATACTTGGTGAAAGCAAGCATGTTGGAAAAGAGAGCTGGGAGGGCAAGCCCTGTTTGGTACATGGCTGACAAACACCTGCAGCCTAGAAAAAGTAAAACTGTTTATGGTCGGAGCAGAGGCTCTTCGGGTAAGCATTTGTTTAGTATTTCTGAAACTGAAGTTTGTCAAACTCTTCTAAAAGTCTGAGGGTTTTTTTACAAGAGCCAGTGTTAGTTTACAGATCTGCCTAAGCTCAGCTCTCCTCTACAAAATGCCCTGCTGAGACCTCCCACCTGTACTATTGCTCCTGGGACAGGACTTGACTTGAACAGATTCTGCAGTAATCAGGGAGACCTGGGGCAGGGGAGCTCCATCTTGGAGGGTTTCTCCAGCTGGGTAAGGTTGGAGCTTGGGCACATGTCACCACAGGGAAGAGATGCTGGTGAGGGCCTCACCAAAAAAGATTAACACCAGCTCACCTGCTGCTTGTGGAACTGATGACCAGTGCTCAGCCCACTCCGTCTAGCTGCAGAAACTCACCAAGCTCAGGACAGCAGAGGCAACCACCACCTTTTTTTTTTTTTTTTTTTTTTTTCTAATAATTTGAAAACCTCTTAGGTCAGTGCTGGAATATGAAATCTTTCAGGGGAGGAAAATCAAAACTAGGGCTCCATCTGGTCACCTCTCTACAGCCACAGCACATGTATTGCATCTTGGGTCTCTAACATCTGCTTCGGAATAATAGGCTTGTTTTGAGCAAGCTCATTTGGCATCAATGGGCACCTTCCCATCGCTCTTACCTCCATATTTGCCTGCAGGAGCACAGGAGTCCTGCACAGAGCTAGCCATATCTCTTGGAGCAGATGGCAGTGAGATCTAACACATGTGCACTGAGGCCAAGCAGACAGTGTTGGTACAATAGTTTCTTAGAAGTCATCTCCACCCTGCATTGCACTGACACAGGTGCTTTTCCATTTAATGACCACTGATGAAGCTGTAGAGCTGGAAGCTGGAACAGGAAGATGACACAGGAGACCCAAAAATTTCTTACCTGACAAGACATAAACTTGCTCAGCTGGCTCCATGTGTGCTGTAGATGCCCCTCTCTCAGGATGGCACACTAAATCATCATCAGCTGAAACTAGGGTTGTAGCACTTGAGCCCTGGCCTGCATTTAATGGCTGCTCAATCTTGACCAGATAAGCTGTTTGGTCTACAAAGGGAATTATTATTTTCTGTGGAAACTGCTCTACATAGTGTGGAACCTCTGCGTCCATCATCAGCTCATCATCCCGGTACAGTGATACAACCTCAGTGGTTGAGGTAACCTCAGCTTCGTTGCAGGAAGGCACAGCCTGCAATGGATCTCTAGGAGCAGGTGATGGTGAAAGAGGTGATGGTTCTTCCCACAAGGAGACCCAGGAAGCTTGATTTACATAATCAGCCTGGCTGGCTGAGGGCCCTAGCTCTCCAGCTATGGAGGACTGACTCTGCACTCCTGGTTGTGACCTAACAACCTGTACAGAAGTCTTAGCTGCTGCGACAGTAGAATCATCTTCAGCAGCGCTTTGTACTGGTGTAAATTCATTCTCTGAGGTCTGAGAGTCTTCGTGAAGAGTCTGCACGCTGGTTGCCACATCCCTCACAGAATAAAAAGAATCACAGTTACCTAGCACATGGGCAGCAAGCCGTGCAGGCTCAGCAGGGACATAGACCGGTTCAGGTCCCTCAGGGGATGAAGGTCTGTCAGATCCAGAGGGAGGATTGTTTTCTGTGATGGAACTGGCTTATTGATGGGTGTTGAGTTACTTTGGAGCTATATTGAACATCAGGTTCTTCAAGGAGCTGGTCTTCCTCTGTGTCAGTACACTTATCCTTTTGCTTGGGCTCCCCAGAAAACAAAGTCTCTGTGTACTCTGTCCTCTTCTCTTCCCATCCCTCATTCCCATTTTCTGCAAGGTGAAAAGCACATAACAGCAATACATGAGCAACTGTTTCCATTTAAATAAAATCAAGAGTAATTTCAGCACCAACTCAATTAGATGCTCTACAACACATTTATGAGACTTCCAGAGAGGGACTAATTTAAGGAGGGGGTTTGCTGCTTGCCTATTGATACAGGAAAAGAAAATTCAGCGAGCAGTGGTACCGCTTCAAAATGTCAGAAGCATTGACTCTATTCCTGATCCTGCAGTGATTACTACATTCTTAGCTACTGCCCACAAACATTGCTACACTTATAGGTTAAAAGTTTAAACCTTTTACATTAAGCACATCAGATAAGCCAGCTAGGAGACCATGACTCCTCTTTGCAACACATCAGAACTCTCTGGATCCATACAAGTTATTTTAGATGCATAGATGGTGACTTTTTAGCTTCCTCAAGAATCCTGGATACCTGTCAGTTCAACTAATCAAGTGAAGAAGAGACATGAACAAGTTTGAGAGAGTGAAAAATGGCTTCTAGATTCATTGACAAGGGCGGAACACAAGAGAGTACCTGTGGGATCAAAACAGTGTTCCATCACATGGTTATTAAAACCCTTCGCATGGGGAAAAAAAAAACCCAACAAACCAAGAGGTCTGGTTTCTATCATGATTAGCAAGTGTTGGCCAATACATAAAGCCAGCACAGCAGGAGACGAGAAGGCAAGTCTTTACTATGTCATCACAGTTCAGCACTGAGCTGTTTTCTGCAGTCATGACTGGATGAGATCAGAAATCATAACTCAAAGGATGACAGAGCTAAATCCTGTCTGAAAAAACAGTTTGACAGCCATCCCAAGCCAACACAGAGCCATTTCTAATCCCATGTCAGTACTGGGCAATGTCACAGAAAAGAAAGGCTCCCTTGCAGCTACGTGAACGAGCCAGCTGCCCACTGGTGCACCACTGGTCCCAAAACACATGCTGGCACCATGGGTGGGAGACTCCAGTGACTGAAGAAAACGGAGTATCACACCCATTTTTAAAAAGTTAATAAGGAGGGCTCTGGGAACTACTGACTAGGCAGCCTGGTGAGATCATGGTACAGATCCTCCTGGAAGATACATCGAAACATACAGAAGAAGACAGAGGTGATATTGAGAGAGCCAGCATGGCTTCACTGAGGGCAAATCATGCCTGACTAACCTAGTGGCCTTCTACGATGGACTGACAGCATCAGTGGACACAGGAAGGGCTATGGATGCCATCTACCTGGATTTATGTAAGGCCTTTGATACAGTCCCCCAAAACATTCTGGCTGCTAAACTGGGGAGAGATGGGTCTGATGATGGATGAACTATTTGATGGATAAGGACTTGGCTGGATGGCTGCATCCAAAAAGTTACAGTTGTCAGCTCAGTGTCCAGGTGGAAACCAGCAATGAGGGGTGTCCCTCAAGGGTCCATACTGGGACCAATACTATTTAATATCATCATCAATGACAGAGTTGGACCGAGTGCACCCTCAGCAGATGGCAGATGACACCAAGCTTACTGGTATGGTTGACACACTGGAGGGATGGGATGCCATCCAGAGGGACCTGGACAGGCTTGAGGAGTGCGCCCATGCAAACTTCATGAAGTTCAACAAGGCTAAATGCAAGGTCCTGCACATAGGTTGGCGCAATCCCCAATATCAATACAGACTGGAGGAAGAATGGATTGAGAGCAGCCCTGAGGAGAAGGACTGGGGGTACTGGTGGATGAAAAAATGGGCATGACCTGGCAATGTGCACTTGCAGCCCAGAAAGCCAACTGTATCCTAGGCTGCATCAAAAGCAGTGCAGCCAGCAGGTCGCGGGAGGCGATCCTGCCCCTCTACTCTGCTCTTGTGAGACCACACCTGGAGTACTTTCTGAGGCCCGAACATAAGAAGGACATGGAGCTGCTGGAGTGAGCCCAGAGGAGGGCCACGAAGATGACCAGAGGGCTGGAGCACCTCTCCTGTGAGGACAGGCTGAGAGAGTTGGAGCTGTGCAGCCTGGAACAGAGAAGGCTCCAGGGAGACCTTATCGTGGCCTTTGAATACTTAAAGAAGGCTGTAAGACAGAGAAAGACTTTTTACAAGGGCCTGCACTGACAGGACAAGAGGCAACAGTTTTAAACTGAAAGAGCATAGATTTAGATTAGATATCAGGGTTGGGGTTTTTTTGTTGTTTTTTTGATTTCGTTTGGTTTGGGGGAGGGGTGTTTGTGTTTTGTTTTGGTTTTTTTGCAATGAGGGTGGTGAGACCTGGTTTCCAAGAGAACTTGTGGATGCCCCCTCCCTGGAAGTGCTCAAGGCCAGGTTGGATGGGGCTTTGGGCAACCTGATCTAGTGGAGGGTGTCCCTGCCCATGGCAGGGGGGTTGGAACTAGATGGTCTTTGAGGTGCCTTCCAACCCAAACCATTCTGTGATTCCAAATCACACTGCAATATCTTAAAATTAAAATGACCAAAGGCATCCAGGCTCTCCTATATACTCAAGGGGAAAGTATAGCATCCCAGGGGACTAATTCTTCCCACATTACACGGAAACATGCGCTTTCTGAAGATGCCTGCCTTTTCAATAGCCAAGAGCCTGACTAGGGCTAGTTAGGATGCATCCCATAATAAGTGAAAACTACTTCCATCCATTCCAGTTGGAACATTGTCTCAAAATACCTTAAAGGAACAACAACTATCTTACCGCTAACGAACTCAAACTTTTCAACCAGTTCTGTTATATCCAGGTTTGGATGCCCTGCAAACAGAAGCAGAGATTAAGCTGGAGGAGACTCGCACTCTCAAATAGCTCAGCTCTTCACATGAAGCTCCGGTCGGAACAAACTTTTTTGAAAGGTGACGAGCTCATGGAAATAGCAAAAAACTCAGCAATGTCATCTGGGTTGTTTTCCATGATAGCCCAGCTCACTCCCTCAAGCAGGCTCTTGAGGCCACGTGGAACAATCAGCCTGATCTTTGAAGACTGCATCTTCCCCACCTCAGGTCAGCTTACGATTTCTCACCTGTACAAACCGAACCCCGCGGCTGAGCGTCTGTCCCACCCCAGTGTGAAGCGTCTAATGCCGACGCTGTGATCGCAGCTGCTCATCCCTTGCCATGCCCTCAATAACCTCCTCCACCCCTTCCCAAACACTCTTTTAACTTAAAGGGGGTATTTACCATTTGCAGTGGCCAAACCCTTAACTCTCCCCCTCTGTGCCTTTAGGCAGCGGGAGGCACAGTCAGGGGGCCCAGCCAACTAGGGAACCACCTCGTGAATTCACCTGCACCCCAAATTCCCGGTTTTTAAAGATAAACCCCACCAAAGCACCCCCTGATGAGCCACAAAAGCCATTTGTGTTCAAGCAAAGAGTTTACAGGATGCTTCTCCCCCCCTTCCCCCCGTACTTGCTAGTTCCTGCCCCCTGCCTCCCGCCGGCACCCCCCCAATGAGGGTGGCAGGCAGGGCAGCCAGGGAGGGCCGCCACACCCAGCCCGGAGGGTGTGACATCACAGTGCATGTGCG